CTTTCAGTGTGAACAAATTTGCAAAAATTTGTCACACGCTGCAGTTGTATTTTCTTTCGTCCCGACGAAAGCGCTAAGAAGCTAAGCAGGGAGGGATCGCAGGAAAAAATAAAGAAGTGACGTGCGCTTCGTGATCTTGAGCAGTTTTTTTTTCAGTTTTTTTTTCTTCGAATGCGCAGCGTTTTCACTGTGACCGTGCCCACGCGTGTACAAGTCGTGGCCTCCCGCGGCAATCTCTGTAACGACCAAGCGCTTCATGATCAAATCCGTCAATGGTCGATTGATGAGCTTTCTAGGTGTGATTTCAGAGCGTGTTTTGTCATTTGACGAGAGAAGAGAAAGCAATTTTTAGCTGATTTTGATAATTTATTGTTAATTCCCGGCCGCCTGCTGCGCTAAATGATTTATTTTTTGGCTTGCATGTTGTCGGAGGCCTCTAATACCACTCGGCTGCGTTTTCTGACCATGCTCAAAAAGCGTTGCAGGGCCCCTTATTATACTTAGGGAGTCCCATCATGGTTTCGAGAGCAGCCCGATGAAGGCGTTCAAATTTTCGAATGTTAGTTGGAAACTTGTATGCGGGTGTGCCATACAAGATCTTCCCAGTGGCCACAGCTTTTGTGGGAGTATGACTGGCTGCCGTGCACTTCCGTATTTGTTGGACATCCGCCTTGTCTTATGCGATGGAATGCCTGCCGGAGTCCACGTACCCACTTCTGTGGGATTTTGCAGCTGGATATTGGTAAACCTAAAACTTTGGTTTGTCCATTTTTATTGTATGGTGTATATTGTATATTGTAATATATTGTAATTGTATTGTATATATATATATATATATATATATATATATATATATATATATATCATTTTAGACCCACCAATACCTCTGTCTCAAATCGCATCTGATAGCCTGCATCGCTCCCTGCTCAGATATACTCCTTTTTCGATTTTCGGCTTTTCTTTCTATATTTTTTTCAGCCACAAATTCCGTTTTCTTTGAAAAACCATTAGCCTTTTAGTTAAGATCCTGCCGCCCGGTTCTTGGCCGATCCCCCTTTGTGGGTGTGCGCCAGAGTGTCAAGGATCATCATCCTCATCATCATCACTGCGGTGCTGTTCGGCACGTGCTCCCAAGGTTTCCAAAACTTTTATCGCCAGTGTAAATGCTGCGGAGAAGTTAAGGAAACGATGGAGTATGTTCTAAATGAGTTCGACGAAATCAACCCATGTATACGTCTGGGTACAAGCCTACATGAGGCTTTGGGTTGCAGGTACAAACATGGAAAGCTGAACCCGTCGACGGTAGAAGCAAGTAAGAGACAGGTAGTGTACTGGTAGCGGAAAACTACAGATAAAAATTAAAATAGTTGAAAAATGTGGCCATTCTGCCTGAGAGGCAGAATATCTTTTGCTATGAGAAGATCGATTATTTCAAACTAGATTAGGCAATAGGTCAACATAAAAATATATTTCTTTTCCTTTTTTTATTGCCAGCCTGGTAGCACACATGTCACCGCCCTGTTATAAAGGGCACGCACATAGCATCCATCCATCCCTCCATCCACGGGAAGCTGTCGCTCAACGACCACGCGTACTGCTAAACTCATCAATTCGTGTTTACGGCAGGATTTAGGTGCATTCGCGCTTCTGGCAGGCTTTGACAGACACAGGGGATCAAAAGATCCCAGGTAACGCTCTCTTAGGAGTACATGGGCTAGTTTGTGGTCTGGGAACGTTTGACCCCTCACTCCCCAGATGCCCGTGCAACAAATGTACTTCAATTTGATAAAGCGGATAATTCTTTTTTTATTTCAGTCATTCAAAACTGTGTGATTCGAGTGTCCCGGCATTTATTGCTGCGTACAGCTGTGCGAATCAAGCGGCAATAAAAAGAACACTGGCGGGCTTTCACTCCATGATATAAAAGCTGCCGCTCGTGCACGGGAGAGATGGTTTGCTGTGATCAGACAGGGCCATTGCTCGCCTAATAAAATTTTGAACGTTACACGAGTATGTATAGCCGTCATTTCTGACCAGTGGCCTTCATAAAAAAAACAGTGGCTTAACAAGGATGCAGTTCCGTCAGTATTTTCAGACTAAGCTTCACATTTGCAGCCAAAGATAACGACTGAACGAAGCGTTGGAACTACGCATTCGACGTTACTGACAAGCAGGACACTGCTAAAGATTTCGCGGAAAATTTCCTTTCGCAACGTACGCGAAAGTTTAAAGTGGCATACGCTTGATTTACACGCGGTGTTTCCCTCCACCATAAATGCTTTTTTTTTGCGCCGTTCAATTTGCGCAATCAATGTAAGCCGTGACTCGCCATGCGTTGGTCTTGAAAACAAAAGCTAACCGAGGGATCCTTATGCGTTTACCTCAGGTTAATCGAAGGCGACAACTATGTTCTGTTTTTTCTTCAGTCGATTGTTTTCCCGCACCCTAACCGAAAGCATTTTTTTAATCCTTACCTTACGTGGTGTTGCCTTGCCGCCGCTATCGACCTATGTGCAGCGATTGCGGCGGCATTACAAACGACCGTGTATAGTGATGGCGTCATCATGTGACGTCACATAACCTGACTTACTGCTGTAATAGTGACGCCTTGATGAAGTAACACATTTCGGCTAACTGTGAAGTCATACCTTGACGACAGCACGTCATGATGGCTGTTTGCATCATTCTTGTGGACAGCACCGACGCAGACGGTAAATATTCATGGCTGAGGAGGCATCTAAGACTTTCGCCTTAATTACCTCTCTGATATTGCATTGATATGTTGGTGCATGTTCGCGAAACCTTCGTTAATAAGTGACAGCGCTGATGACATGCCACATATTTCAAGCGTGTGACATCAGCTCAAAGTCAACAATGTGACAAACTGAACAGCATCTCCTCACACACATCGGGCAGTCTTTCAAAAAGCGCGCGCAGAATATGATGCTCTTGCCTGTGTTTTGTACCATCACAATTCAGCTGTTTTAGACTATAAAACAAAGCAATCACTTGGAAAAGTGTGTGGTTTTCTGACGCACCGCTTTTTGCTTCCTCTTAGTGGCAACGAATGTACACGAGAAAAGATTCGCGCAGGGAACCTGAGGTCACGTATCTTCATGGGAGCAGTGTAGCGACATTTTTAGCTATTAAGGCATGCCCCCTACGCTTGCGTGTATTCTGTTACGCCATTAAACGTGAGCATAGAGCTGGCTCTTGAAGAGCAAAAGTTTTGCGCTTTAACTACTCGCTAACATTGCTTTCAAATGTCGACTCGCAGACAGTTCAAAACATACTATCAAACTAGGAAAAATGATTGTAAAGGACCAATTTTTTGAGCATCACTTGACCACGACAGTATCTACGCAGCAGACAACACGCAAACGAGTGCCTCCAATGAAATAGCCACTAACAACACATGCCTTTATTAAAAGCTTGTTGCCAAATGTGAGAAGTGCTTCAATGTTGATGTTTACAAAAGTTTTGTTTACACTTAAAACAAAGCAAGTACAACCAAAAACTCGACAATGTAAGATATGCAAATGCATAGCCGGCGTGCGTTTCAGTGAGCGACGGCGCGACTGCGACTCTGCTCCAGTGGCAGCGCACGGCGGCTGAAAGCTGCGCTAACGCGGACGGTTTGTTCTCATTGTACTGCGCTTGTTCACCGAAGCACTGCAAAAAAACAGGGAGGTGCTAGTGTGGAACACTCTTTATAAGCCTTTTTCATGTCACGTAGCACGTCAAGTTATTACGAGTGGGCAGCTGGCCAATAATCCCTCGTATAATACATGAAGGCGCAAAGTCCTCCAGAATGAGACCCTCGCTAGGAATCGGGGAAAGAAGTATATAGTACATGTTTGTGTTTATTTCTTAGACACAATGTAAATAATACGTAGCGGACAATTATGCCAAGTAAAGCATAGGGTATGGCTTTAGAAGTACCAGTAAATTCGAAGGAACAAAAAAAGACGAAAAGATCAGTTGCCGGCACCAGGGAAGAAACCTTCGAGCATCGAATAACGGTCAAATGACCTACCACGGCAGATATCTCCCGTTGAGTTTATGGTGTATATACGTGGCACATGCAATAAATGTAAGAGTGTCAGTCAGCGCCGCGACTAGCTATCACGGCGAGTGCGGAACAATTTTTATCAGCGTCATGGTTTCACGTCACGTAGCATATTAATTTATTACGAGTGGGAAGCTGGAAATATTCCCTTTTATACTACATGAAGGCGTGAAGTCTTCTAGAATGAGACCCGCGCTATGAAGCAGAGAAAGAAGTGTATATTTCTAAACTCGTTTTTTTTCTAAGACACAATCTAAATGATACGTAGCAAACAATTGTGCCAAGAAAAAGTATAGTGGATGTTAATAGAAGTACTTGTAATGTATAAGTAAAGAAAGAAAAATAGACAAAAAGATAACTTGCTGTGGGCAGGGACCAAACCTGTGAGCTCCGAATGACGCGTCCGATGCTCAACCAATGACGTTGCTACGGCGGCTATCCCCCGGTTGATTGTATGGCGTAAATAGGCGCGTTCCATCAAGAAAAACGTATGTAGCAGATAGATCCTACTGGTATTTGACTACAAAGCGAAACTTTGGAGCCTTAAAACGAGGTTGGAACTTCAAGGATGATGTAGGAATTCATAAAAAAGAAAAGTCACTGGCTTCAAAAGAACACAAGCTGGGCCAAGGTACCTAAGAGGGATATATATGCACTGTCCATCATGTTTAAAGGTGCATCCTTTCTTTCGATGTGAGGGACATGATAAAGTTCCATGTGTGTTTACTGTGCGCGCATTCAGTGTCTCTGTTTTTCACTGTTTGTAGAAAATCAGCAATGACTAGCCGAAGCACTCCCTCGTGAGGCGTTATACGGCCACGCGTTCGCCTGTGAATTGATATTACCTACCCAGATGCAATGCAGTGTTTTGGATACACAGTAGCAAAATCCCTTTACTACAACTGATTTGGCCTGACGGACGGCTTTGCAGGGTCCTCCTGGGAATGCAGGTCCAATGGGAGCCACTGGAGAACGTGGTGAACGAGGCGACACTGGGCCACCTGGAGTCCGTGGGCCACAGGGACAGAGGGGACCACAAGGAGCATCTGGGCCGCAGGGTCTCAAAGGGGACCGTGGTGCTCTCGGAGAAAAGGGCTCTAAGGGTCACCGGGGTCTCGTAGGTCTTCAAGGACTGCCCGGACCAGCGGTGAGTGGTATTTGTGGTTCTTATGTGTAACTGCGTCCACATTAGTATCCCTGAACCTTCAAGAAGCCAAATAAAATGCGAAAATCATAAATTAGCAAAAATTTTTCTTGAGGAGATCAATTTCAGTACGCAGCTGAATAAAATAAGACACACTTCCTTTGCGTGCAAATTATGATGGTGTCTGAAAATGTACCAAATGAGAGAATTTTAGTCTGGCTGCATAATAATAGTACAACGTTTACAATAGCGCCTCCGTACAACAACTCAATGGAACCCAATACAACACCTTTCCATTGCTTCCTTTCACCAGCTTCTACTTCATGCACTGGCCACTTTGTCACTACGTGTGTTCAACACGCGCAACTTACTCCACTACATTGTACTTCTAGAAACAAGAATAGTATAATAAAGGCAAGGCGTTATTTTTGTCCAATTTTAGTAATGAATCCTGATTGCAGCAGAGTAATATATAATTATTACGAAGTTGGTTACTTTATACTTTCACGTAAAAAGTGCCCCGTCAGTCTCTAGATGCATTCACAGTTTATTATTGCTGTGTTCAAGCAAACACACAAATACACTTCTTGGATTGCTCGAGCAAAGGCCCGGGAACACTAGTGGCAAGACGCGAATGGGACGCCACCGGTGACACACTGCGGCTGTGGCTGTGCTAAAACATCAGCTTGCTCAAGCTGTATTTGGGTAGAGGGAGTGGGGGGGGCTGGCTAATTCACAACTGTCAAAAAAGAATAGCATCGAAATCAAAGCCCAGAAGCTCGAGGAAGCCAAACCAGTAGCAATATAGCTTCCTCATCAACAAATGTCTAGTCATTCGGTGTGAGTACATCACGGAATGCGCGTGGGAGCCGCTCTGCGAGGCCTCGCAACAACAACAAAAAAACAAAAAAGGTGCAGGAATGCACTTTTTTCAAAACACAAAACAGGTGCATTGCGGAAGTTTTCAGGATGGTGGTTTGGCGCTAATTTGTTCAGTCCTGAACGCTGTGCCTATATATAATCGATTGTTCTATGCTTTTGCTAAACTGATTGGCTGCTATCACACACGCAGCATCGAATTGCTTTCACTATAAAAGAGCTTCAATTTTCACCGCTATTTCACGGTTGCTCGTCGAAAGAAATGGCCTGCTGTGCTCGACTGGCCCGGCCAAGCAGAAGAGCGTCATTGGCCGGGCAGCCCACGTTGTGGAACTACATGAACATATGAACGCTTAGAGCAGTGGGATCGTGTGGAGACCCTGAGACGTATGCGCCCGGATACCTTAGTTTAGTTGTGTTTTACCTCCTCCTCTGGGAATATGAGTCTATATATATATATATATATATATATATATATATATATATATATATATATATATATATGTATATATATATATATATATACATATATATATATATACATATATATATATATATATATATATATATATATATATATAGATTGTGACGAATTTGAATAACGGACGCTCTGCTGGTAATGAAGAGGACGATCATGATCGGGGGCTGAAGTAGTAGTTCGCGCACGCCGCTCGCCATTAGCCAGACCGGCCCGATAAAGCACATTTTGCCAAGCTGCGTCTGAACCTTTCTCAACGTACAACACCTCTATTTTAAGTGGTCGAGGAGCCGGGGTTCCCATCAACCTGGAACTTCGCAATCGGACACTACCCTCACCGTTCACCATGACTGCTCCTGGCGCTTCTCAAGCTGCCTTACCAACGACATTCTACTGTACTGGCGTGCCTTGGCAACACGACCAACCAATTTTTCGCGGCGACGACAAACAAGACGTCGAGGACTGGCTCATCGAGTAGGAAATCGTAAGCGCTTCCTACAAGTAAAACGCCTGCGACCAGCTCACAAACGGGTGCTTTCACCTCGCAGATGTGGCCAGCCTCTGGTTCAAAAACCACGAAGGCGAAATCACCAACTGTTCTGCCTTCAACACCATCATCGCCGAGGTCTTCGGTCGTCCCGCCGTGCGCCGGCTTCGCGCGGAACAGCGTCTCCGTAGTCGACTCCAGCGCAGGGACAAGATCTTTACAATTTACATTGTAGATGTCTTGTCTCTTTGCAAGCACGTCGATGAATCTCTAACCGAACGCGACAAAATCAAGCACATCATCAAAGGAGGTGACGACGATACCTTCCAGATGCTCGTCGCTAGGAATCCACAGATCGTCACCGATGTTGTCCAGCTCTGTCAGGAGTACGACGAGTTGCGTAAGCAGCGTGTCGCGACGCGCAGGGCCGCTGAAGATACGGCTGAAGTTTCCGCCTTCGTGCACGACGTCGCTGCTGATCACACCGTCTTACTGCCCCACATCGAACAATTCATTCGTGAAGAAGTTGCGCGTCAGTTTTCTCTTGTGGCCGAAGCATCCGAGCGAGTGACCTCGTTAGACCCAGGTCTACGCCAGGTCATTGAGACACGGGTCACGCAGACACTGCCTCCATCGCCACCTGTCCCTACGCCGCTGACCTACGCTGCCGTTGTTGCTAGACCCCCAGTCCCACCTGTCTCTGGCGCATACCGGGGCACCGGGTCCTCCTACCCTACGACGCTGCCTACATACACGGCACCCCATCCTGTTTCGCCCCCTGCACCTTCTGTCGTTAACCCATGGTGCACCTTCGATAATCGACAAATCTGTCTTGCATGCGGTTTCGTGGAACATATAGCACGCTATACTGTCGCCGTCGCCACTTCCAACCTCCAGACAATGGGAACTCTGCAAATTACCAGGCTGCCCAGAATCCCCAGCGACCATCTTCTCCTATCACCGACTCATTGTCCCCACGATGACCTGTCGATTCTTGCCGGTCATTACCACCCCGTCGCCGATCTGTCCCCCGATGCTTCGGCGCACGAGTCCCGCTCGAGAAGAAAAGTGACAGCCGCAGTTCCAGAGGCAAGAACTGCGTCGTTGTCGAACTCTCCAAGAGCTCCTCTTTGTCCGCCCAACGAAATTGATGTGCTAGTAGAAGGTGTTGTTGTACGTGCAGTTGTCGACACAGGCGCCGTCGTTTGTGTAATTAGTGAAAAACTGTCTCGCGATTTGAGAAAAGAGACAAGGCCGCTTACGAATCTTGCTCAGCGTACAGTCACCTCCCATTTCATCGCGCCGACGGCTAAGTGCACAGCACGCGTTCTTATTCAAGATGTTTGGTACGCCGTCAACTTTGTTGTTCTCCCACGTTCATCTTACGACGTCATACTAGGATGGAATTTCCTTTTACCCATCAGGCCCTCGTCAACTACGCTTGTGCTGCACTCACGTTGACGAATCCGTGCCTTGATATCGACCACCACATTTCCTCGAAAGTGTCTGCCGCAGCTGACGTCCGCATCGTGCCGTTGTCCGCCGTCCTAGTGCCTGTGTTTTCCCCTGCTGCCACTAACTCGACGATCCTTATCCAACCAGCTATAGCTAGTGTGCACCACCGAACCAACGTCTTCCCGTTTGCCGTCATCAACTTTTCCAATTGTTTGGCGGTACTTTATGCGTGCAACGTTTCTGCTTGTCCTTACATCCTGCTACGCGGCGAGTGTCTGGGAAGCCTCGAGGCCTTAAATTGTATTTTCGAAGACCCGATCTATCCAGACAAGCCATTTTTACCGACTTGTGCCATAACACCCGCAACTGACGCTAATGAACCTATGGATGTATTCCGCAAGTCCGTTAAATGCAACCTCACGCCTGAGCAGCAGGAACAGCTTATCAAGCTTCTCCAGTGTTTTCGAGCATCGTTTGACCACAATCAGCCTTCCTTAGGTCGAACGTCATCTGTTGTTCACCGGTCAAGGTACCGGTCAAGAGACGCCATTACGGCAGCATCCATATCGTTTGTCAACTACCGAGCGCCGTGCCATCAATGAACAGGTTGACGACATGCTGAGACGTGGCATGATCGAACCGTCAAGCAGTTCCTGGGCCTCTTCAGCTGTGTTGGTGAAGAAGAAGGACGGGTTCATCAGGTTTTGCGTGGACTACCAACGTCTCAACCGAATCACGCGCAAGGATGTCTATCCGCTGCCGCGCATTGACGATGCCTTGGACTGCCTACAGGGAGCCGAATTTTTCTCTTCTTTAGATCTGCGCTCTGGATACTGGCAGGTACCCATGGCAGAGGCCGATCGCGAAAAAAACAGCTTTCATCACGCCCGACGGTATTTACGAATTCACAGTCATGCCCTTCGGCCTCTGCAACGCGCCAGCTACTTTCGAGCGAATGATGGACTCCTTCGAGGCCTCAAATGGAACGTTTTTCTTTGTTATTTAGATGACATTGTCATCTTTTCATCTGATTTTGCAACCCATTTAACCCACCTCTAGAAAGTCCTCGTGTGCATTCCTGCCGCGGGGCTGCAACTGAATCTAAGGAAGTGCCATTTCGCCGCTCGAAAGCATATGATCCTTGGCCTCGTGGTTTCAAAAGACGGCATTCTTCCTCACCCTGCCAAACTTACAGCCGTTTCAGCGTTTCCCAAACCGACTAACATGAAAGACGTCCGAAGCTTCATAGGCCTTTGCTGTTACTTCCGGCGCTTCGTCCGCAATTTCGCGATGATCATCGCTCCTTTGACCAAGCTCCTCACCGGCCCTAGAGACCTTTCAGCCTGGTCTGCCACCTGCGACAATTCTTTCAATGAACTGCGCCGCCTCCTCACGTCGCCACCTATTCTGCGACACTACGACCCATCGGCACCCACAGAGATCCACACCGACGCTAGTCGTGTCGGGCTAGGCGCTATTCTTGCACAGCAGAAAGACGGCTTCCAAGAGTACGTGATTGCCTACGCAAGCCAAACTCTTAGCAAAGCCGAAATCAACTATTCCGTCACTGAAAAGGAATGCCTCGTCATTATTTGGGCGATACAGGAATTTCGACCTTACGTGTACGGGCGCCCTTTTCATGTGGATGGATGGAAGGATGGATGGATATGGCTGTACCCTTTAGATCGGGCGGTGGCTAGCGCC